AATTATTAACAAAATTAATTCTTTAATTAGTTTAATCAAAAAAAAAAAAAATCAAAAAGAAAAAGAAAAAAAGTTTTAAAATTTTTTATTCTACGCTTACTATTATTTTCACGCTATTCAAATCTCTAACTATTATGATATTTATTAAAATAAATTCTATTATATCCTGATGTATTATTTTTAGATAATTTACAATTTAATTGATTTTTTCTTGGTGTTGTTTTATGTAAATTTTCTTCACAGTTATCTAATCCACAACAGTTAATATGATCAATAATCTTCTATTCAAGATAAATCATTTGATGAAATTTAACTGTAGTTTTTTGATTATTTTTTTTTAATATATGTTCGAATATAATATATATTATAAGATTTATTATAATACCAAGTATAATTTTTTAATAAATCAAAGTTTTTAATATCACATAAAAAAGTTTTTTCTAGTTTTTGTATTTGAACTTCATAATAAAGTTTATTGTTAATTTTAACAAGTCTATATTCATTAAGTTTTTTATTTGGATGTACTTGTTTATTCCAAGTTGTTGCAGCTTCAAAGCTTTTGAATTTATTTTTTCAATACATTTTTTTTAATATAATAAATAATTTCTTTTGTATTTATATTTTTTTTTAATAATTTATTAAGAATTAAAAAACAAAATTAAAAAAATAATTATATAAAATAAAAAAAATACTAATAAATATTAATGGTTTTCATAAATCACACAAAGCTGATTAATATTCATTTTAACAAGTTTTTCATTTTTTTTCAAGTTGGAAACTCATTTTTTAAGAGATAAAATTCTTGTTTCATAGTCTTTAATAATATAATTTAGTCTTTTAATCTTTTTAATATAGTTAGAAGGTTTTACTGAAATACAAATCAAATTTTTTTAAAGCATCCTTTACAAATTTCTGGATTTTCAATAGAAGACGAACATTTAATTTGTATTTCTCTACACTCAAAACAATGTGTTTTGGATGTACAATTTGGTTTTTTTGAAATTGAAGATATTTTTAAGCTATTTTGTTTAAAAATAAGTGATTTATTGAATATTTATATATTTTAAAGAAATTTAAATTAAAAATATAATATTTATAGATAAATAAATAAATTTAATTTTTATAAGATGAAATAAATTCTTTATAATTAGGATTTGCTAAATTCCATAGTTGACTAAGTTCTTTTGCTTCTTCAATTTCTTTATAATTTACGTAACTATAAACTGGATAATTATTATCTTTAACAAATCCTCCAAATCGTATAATATATAAATCTTTTTGTTCAAGAATAATATAAAGATTACAATTAA